CAAAAGCCTTTGGCCACCAATACCCCGGCTGTCTGACATAGCCTGTCCTGTCGTGAACAAAATTGGAATTAGTCTACATCCCTCCAGGTGCAAGGGTAGAAGGCGGGTTCCCTTGGACAGCTTGGAGGCTGGACATGAAGTTGTTCCCAATTGGAAGCCTCCAGAAAACAGGCAGGTGGGTGGGGGGGCGGGGCATGGGAGAATTCCCAGCCTCAGGCTCTAAAATTCCCAGTTAGTCTGTGGTGCAGATAGGACTCCCTGCCTCCTTGATCAGGGAAGGGGGAGGATCAGGGCCACACTGGGCACCAGGAGCTGGAAAAACAAGGGGGTCTCTGGCCCAGAGTCTGGGATGGGGAGAGGCAGAGGGGGCACTGGAAATTGGGGACGCATCTTTGAACTGAGATACCAGCTGTTGTCAAGACCAGCCCCTGGGCCAGGCTAAGGAAGGGCAGGGCTAAAGGTGGGGAGCCAAACAAGGGTCAGGCAGGGCCTTGAATGCCGTGTTCAGGAGGCTGGCCTTTATCCCTCAAGACCTGGGGAGCCATGGAAAGATTTGAGGAGGAGCGGGCACTGGGCACAGCTGGACACTGGGGAAGGGGTGACACAGGGGCATGGATCCAGCCCAGCTCTGATAAGGAATAGCAGAGTTCCGCGGGACCATAGCAGCAGAGGCGGCGGCAGTGAAGACTTCTTATTTATTTATTTATTTGAGACAGAGTCTCGCTCTGCCTCCCAGGCTGGAGTGCAGTGGTACGATCTCGTCTCACTGCAACCTCCGCCTCCCGGGTTCAAGTGATTCTCTTGCCTCAGCCTCCCGAGTAGCTGGGACTACAGGTGCATGCTACCACGCCCATTTTTAGTAGAGACAGGGTTTCACCTTGTTAGCCAGGATGGTTTCCTGACCTCGTGATCCGCCCACCTCCGCCTCCCAAAGTGCTGGGATTACAGGCGTGAGTCACTGCGCCCGGCTGGCATTGGGGGCTTCTTAAAAAAGAGGGAGGCTGGGCCCGGTGGCTCACGCCTGTAATCCTAGCACTTTGGGAGGCCGAGGCGGGTGGATCACCTGAGGTCAGGATGTCGAGACCAGCCTTACCAATATGGTGAAACCCCGTCTCTACTAAAAAATACAAAAATTAGCCGGGCGTGGTGGCGGGCGCCTGTAATCCCAGCTACTCAGGAGGCTGAGGCAGGAGAATCGTTCGAACCCGGGAGGTAGAGGTTGTAGTGAGCCGAGATCGCGCCACTGCACTCCAGCCTGGGCTACAGACCAAGAGTCCGTCTCAAAATAAAAAAAAAAAGAAAAAGAAAAAAGGGAGTGTGGGGGTGGGGCCCGGAGCGCTCCAAGGGGCGGGGAAGGGGACTCCCAGGCCCGAAGACTCTTGGAAGGGAGGGGGGTGTGGCGCTGAGGAGGCGGCGGGACGGATGCGAGACCGGGAGAAGCGCGCTGGAGGGCTGCGGGCGGGGGATGTGGCGCGGTCCAGGCCCGTCGCGGCCTCGTCCTGACAGGGACACCTGCGGGCTCGTCCTTCCAGGATCACCTGCGGGCCTCGGGGGCCGATGCCTCGACTCCCCCTCCGGCCTCGGTTTCTCCGCGCAGCGGGGCGGGGCGGGGGCAGCGCGGGTCTCAAAGCTGCCTGCAGGGGGCGCCCGTGAGCGGCGCGGCCGGAGCCGGAGACCCAGCGGCCGCCGAGACAGCGGGAGCCGGCGGGCGAGCCGCAGGTCAGCCGGGGTCCTAGGTCCGGGGTGCGGGGTCCTGGGTGCCGGGTCCGGAGTGCAGGGTGCCGGGGGTCCGGGGCTGGCGGCCGGGCGGCGTGGGGCCGTCGGGGGTGTAGGGCCGAGAGGACTGGGAGGCTGGAGTTCTGCTCCCCTCAAGGTTCCTTTCCCGCCGCCCGGAAACCAGTTCCCCGGCGCGGGGTCCGAGTCCTGCCCCGCGTTGGCCGCCCGCACGGCCCGTGAAGGGCCCAGGCACAGTCACGCCCCAGGCGCAGTTGCGGCGCCGCGTGCGGGACCCTCCGAGCCGTCCCAAACTGCAGCGGAAGGCGCGCGGGGGTAGGCGGGGAGGGAAGGCAAGTGCGGCGGCCGGGGCAGCGCGGGGTGCGGAGCCGCAGGTAGCGGGCGGGGAGCGTCAGTCCGTCCGTCCGTCCGTCCGTCCATGCGCTGCAGACCGGCCCCGCGCGCGATGAACCTTCCAGGAGCTCCTCCAGCGGGAATGGGCAGGGGGCGTAGAGGCGCTTCCTGAGGGCTGGCGGACCGGACCCCGGGGCGAGGGAGGATCCCCAGGTGGAGGAGCCGGGCGGATACCGGTTCCCCGGGAAGGTGCGGCGCGGGCAGAGGCACCCGAGCGCCAGGGGCGCGCCGAGAAAGGAGGAGTCGGGAACGCTGGGCCGAGCGCGGGCGCGTTCCTTGGACAGTGGTGGCGGGAACTGGGTTTGGGGGACCCAGGAGACGACGGGGGACGGGCGGGGGTGGGCGCGCGCCTCGGACTGGCCCCGGCTGTCTCCCTGGCTGCCCGCAGCGAAGGTAGGAATGGCGGGAATGGTGGCGGCTCTCGAGGGATTTGGCGCAAGGCGGCCCAAGGGCTTGAGGAGGAGGCCGCGGGCCGGCAGAGCTGAGATCCTTGTGTCCCGCACTCAGACTTTAGTTGCCCCGACTGTACCATGGGAGGAAGAGGGAGACCCAGGGCTGGGTCCTAGGCTGGGGGAGTCGGGGCGCTGCAAAGAGGAGCAGGTGTTTGTGGCCCTCGTTGGAGGGTGGGCCGCAGGTCAAGCCAGCCCTCCGTCCCCATCCTGAGGCACCTCCTCTCCTGGGCTGTGCCCGCAACAGGGCCCTCTTCTCTCCTGCCAGGTGCTCAGGTCGCCTCCACTCTGCCTCTGTTGTCGGCTCCCCCTGGGTTCCCCGGCGGGGCACTCTGCCGAAACTACCTAACGGGCCAGGGCTGCCCCGGGGCGCCCCAGCCCTGGAGACCGTGGTGGAGGGTTCTGTGGAGCACCGCGGGCCTGGGACGCTATTGCTGGGTGGGGCTTCCTCACTGGCCCTGCTTTGGCCGCTCCTGGAGGCCTTGGGTGGGGCTGGGAAGGCCGGGCCCTGTGGGCAGCATCCCCCAGCCCCCATCCTGGCAGATCCATGGCAGGGGCGCCTCACAGGCTAGTCCATGGCCATGGTGTCAGTCCCTCCTTGTTCTGCGCTTGCTTTTTGGGGTTTCCTAGGCTCTCCGTAGTCCTAGTGTTTCTCAGGCAAATCCCAGCCACTACTCCTCCATCTGCGTCCCCTGTTCCCCCAGTGCTGAGCTGGCTGAGCTGTGAGCTTTCCTGCTCCTTGCCTCAGGAAGCTAGGGACAGCCCAGTCACCTCTGGCCGGAGGCAGGCCTTGGGCCAGGCTGACCTGGCTGGTCTCAGGGCTGTGCTGGGCTTCTTCCCATATTGGCCTGTGAAGTACAGATCCCCAAATATGCCCTGCTTCCTGCCTCCAGGAGTCGGCGACGGAGGAGGGCGATCAATGGCAATGACTGCCTCATGGGCAACCCGATGGACTGGAGATTTCAGTGCCCTCGTCTGGGTTCTGGTCTTGCCTTCTTGACCCACTCACTGGGCAGGTCACTGTCCCCTGGAATCTGATATCTCATCTGTAGAACAAGAATGATGATCTTAGCAATGCCTAATGTGGAAAGGCCTTGGCTTGGGGGCGAGTGGGGGAAGGTTTAGGGCAGACCACAGGGCCAGTTAGGGATGTGTGCTGGAGCTGGGGAACCTGGGAGAGAGGGTATTAGGCTTGAGGGTCAGTGGACACCACAGGGATTGCTGTTGGCAGAGGGACACGTGAATGGCAGTTGGCCTGGGAGCCAGCATGTGTCTTGAAGGCATCATGTCCTGCAAAGTCCAGGTGAGGCCTGGGCAGTGCCTGCCATGTGGGACCACAGCCCCTGGTGGCTCTTAGTTGTGTCCTGACACCCAAAGAAGGTCTTAGTACCTCTCACTGACCTAATTCCTGAGCCACCTAACCCCAAATGAGCTAGAATTGCCTTCCCAACCGTGTTTGCAGGGTCTGTCTTGTCTATTGCAGCGCAAACTGGTCCCTGAGCACGCAGGAGAGCAGAGGAAGGACAGACGGACGGATGGATGGATGAATGAAGGCGGGAAGCATAGGCTGAGGGGATTTAGGGCATGTGTGGTGAGGATGCTGTGGAGAGGAGACCACACAGGCAGGAGTTGAGCTGGTGAAAGGGAGGGTTCTAGCTCCCAGGAGAAGGGTCTGGGCCATTGACAGGAGGGGCTTGGTCCTAGGAGGTGGGTGGTCCAGAGGTTGAAAGGAGCAGAGGAGCCCAGATGGGGAAGGGAATGGAGCTGGGGTGCAGAGAGGAGCCCCCACACGACTGCCCACCTCCTGCGCAGGGCCTGGGACTCTGGGTGGTGGGAAGAGGCAGTTTCGTGGCAGAGAGGGAGGCCCGGGCCCCTGTAGCCTGGACTCTGTGGATCTGGTCGGGGACTGGGGAGGATCAGGTGGAGGGAGGAGCAGGAGAGCAACTGCCCCTTATCCCAGCACAGGGGGCGATGGGAGCCCAGGGAAGGCAGGACCCTGGCTTCGGACCTCCGCAGGCATTTTCTCTGCTAGAATCTCTCGCTGCCTCTCTCCCTTCACCTTCTCCTCCAAGTCCCACCCAGATGCTGCTTCTGTGAGTTGCCATGGGGATTCTCTCACCACACCCCCCACCCCCCACAGGGGAGGCCTGTTCCAGGAGTCACTGGGCAGGGGCTGCTGCTGCTGCCCTTCTATGCCCCACCCCTCAGATGTGCCGCTGCAGCCCCGGTCTTTGGCATCAGCCGTCACCTGGTGGAGAGGCTGCCGGAGCTGGCCAAGCAGAGGGAGGCCGATGGTGTCACTTGGTGTCTCCTCTGGCGTATGGGCAGGAGATTTCTCCCCAGAGGCCCCGGGCTGGTGTTTGTCTGCCCCTGTGTCACAGGACTCACCTCTGGTCCCTCAGTGGCCTCTGCAAACCCTGAGCCAGCCTGGGGGAGGCTGCTCAGTGGGGAAGAAGCAGTGGCCAGGCTCTGCTTGGTCACCTTGCCCTCCTGTCAGCCTCCAGGGCTGCTTTGTCACACCTGCCCAGGAACCCAGCAGCCGGTCCTCACCCCTCCCATCCTCAGTGCAGACACCCTGGGGCATTCTGAGGCCCTGCACCCAGCACCGCCCCTTCAAGCCTCCCACAGGGTCCCACCCAGGACTACTGGGCTCTGTGTCCTCGGGGCCATCTAGAAACACTCCCTTGTCCCCCCTTCAGCAGCATAGTATGTGTTGCCCGCCATTTGAGGGAGGTGCAGGTGCCAATCCTTCACGTGACGTGATGTGGCTCACCGCAGCCTGTGTACATGTGAGCAGCCGCGTGCAGAGGGGAAGCTCTCCCGGGCCTCGGGGACTGTGACATGGAGCAGGAGCCGCCCCCAGCCAGGCTGCTTTCAGCACAGCGTGGGCCCCCAGCACCTTTGTGCGGGGTGTGGCCCCTCGGAGGAGGGCTGTCAGGCGAAGCCTCATATGAGGGGGTGAGTGGCGCCCAGGCAGGGAGGAGGGGGGGCTGTGGCCTCCCTGGCCCCTAGCCTGGACACATGGGGGTGTGGGGAGCAGGAGCTGGGGCCCCCAGCGCTGGCCCCAGGGCTGCGATGTGAGGGCTGCTCTGTGAGGCAGGCTCAGGGCCTTAGCCTCCAGCTGCAGGGAGCTGGGTCTTGGCCCCATCTTGCCCACATCCTGCCACCAGGAGCAGAGAGCCACAGCCGCACCCGGGCTGTGGGGGAGGGATGCCAGGCGTCTCTCTGGGTCCTGGGCCCAGCCTGCACCCAGCGCCTAAAGTAGGAGCCACCGGGCAGCCCCAGAGGGCAGGAGGGAAGCGGAGCCCATGCTGGGTGGCTGGTCACCACCGGGCAGTGAGGAAGGCACCTGCGCTGATGAGTTTTTGGGGAGGGTTTGGGGATCCTGGGGCCCTGGGCTGTGGGAGGTTCATGCCCAGGCCCCCCGGGCCACCCAAAAGCCAGTCATAGTGGGGCCCACGACCTGCCATGCCCCTGCCGAGCTCCCGCAAGCCACTTGCTGATGCTTCTCAGTCTACCCAATGCCTCTCAACCGTTTCCTCCTAGACTAGGTCTCTTCATGGCATTTCTGTGAGAATTCCTCAGTACTAGCTTCAGATCCCCAGTCGCCTCTTCCACCATGTGTGTGCCTGAAGCCCACCACATGCCTTATTTCAGTCCCTCTGTTTTTCAGTCCCTGGATTTTGTATTATTTCATGTTTATATCCACCTGTCCTTGTTTCATTTCCGCCAGTCGGTTCAGAAGTTCTCATTCTTGTCTACAGATGCCATTCTTTTCTTTGCATCTTTGGACATCCTAAAGGTCTCTAAAATCATTATTAGATTACTACATTACCTTCCTTTCTGCTGGAATGAATTCATCTCCATATTTTGTATTCTGTTGCTTGCCTTTCTTAGCCTTCATTTACCTCTTGCGCTTTGAAATTGATTTGCGACTCCTCTTAGGTGAGCCAAGGTTTTGGAAACAGGAGTGGCCTGCAGTGCCTGAAACCGCAGGGCAGCAGCCGTCTCCCAAGAATGTCCTGGGTCCTTTCCTCCTTTGAGATCCCCTGCCATATGTTCAGGGCCCAAATGGGGCCAGGCACAGCAGTGGGGGGCATACCTCCCTGTGGCCCAGCAGTTGGGGTCCTGCCAGGCCTGGTGGAGGTGGTAAACATTTGTTATGGGAAAGTAGCAGGAGGGTTCTAAGGCTGGGATTCTGAAGCCCAGGAAAAGGCCAGGCATGGCTGGAGCAGGTCCGAGTCCCTGCACTGTGCCCTGTACGTTGCCCTTAGCCGCACTCAGGAGCAGATGTGCAGGGCACTGCCTAGAAGCCGGTGGGCACCTCCATGCAGCAGGCTCTGGGGGGTACAGCCACCATCTGGGCATGTGTACAGAGGGCCTTGCTAGTGTGACATACAAGGAACCAGAAGACGTGAGCCAGAAGATGTGTGGGTTTTGATTAAATGGAGTTTTAATTAAAGTGGCCGGGTTGGGGAAGGTGAGGAGGAAGGCAGGAACAAGTAGCAGTTTTGAGTCTGACCACGTGGAATCCTATAAGGTTGTTCTTTCAAGAGGCATTATGCACGTTCCACAGCATGTGTCCCCTGTCTATATGGGGCAGCATCTGCCCTCTGATCTGTCCCCAACAAGGGGCAATCACAGAGAAGTATTACATTATTAGTATTTAATTTCCCCTCCTGGTTAGCAACAGATGACTGAAGGATTAATTAGATGCACAGAGCCAACAGAGAGGGATAGGAAATTGCCAGATCCTGGCCCCATCCCCTCCCTGGGGCCTCCGACCTTCCTGTCACTCTGGGAGGCTTCTGAGGGAGGGGAGCTGGAGGCCCAGGAGGCTTCCTGCTGCTGTGCTCTCTATGGGTACAGCCCCAGCCCTACGCCACCTTCCAGTGCTCTTGGTAAGGCTGAGAGAGGTCGCTTCATGCCTTTGGGCCTCAGTTTCCTCATCTGTAAAATGGGTTTCCTGGGACCAGCAAGATCACAGATGACAGTCATTTCCCAAGCTCCTAAGCGGCTGCACAAGCTGTGTCTGAGGGTCCAGTGCAGTGCGTGACCTCTAGGCAGGTGCCTCCTGGGATGCATAAAGTTTGGCAGCTCAGCAGTGGCTGGCATCGTGGCCAGCTGACTCTGTTGCTCCCCAGTTCTGGTCCACGACACATTAGTAGCTTGAAACTGGGCACAAGGGGAGAATTTACACCACAGAAATCAGGCAAAGCCTGTAAGTCAGGGCGCCCCGGCCCGGGGCCGATTTGCCAGCCTATGGTAGTTCCCAGCCTTTCCCCGAGGAACGCACTCCTCCCCTGCCTGCCCCGAGGGTGCCTCTGACTCCACCGATCTGCTTTGCTCGGGGCTGAGAAAGGCACAGCTGAGAGTGGATTCTGGCTTGGCAGGGGCCCAAGTTGCCTGTGGGTCCGGGCAAGCCTCACCCGGGATGTGCTGGCAGCAGCTGGGAGAGCCTGCAGGAGTGCTTCAGGAGGGGCCGAGGGAGGGGACGGGCAGCGAGGTGGCCTGTGTGGACCCTGCCGGCAGGAGCCATGGGTGTCTTTAGCCCCGTGCGAGGCCGGCCAGGGCAAAGGGGTCTGTTGCCCTCATTGAGGCTGGTGGGCAGCAGGAAGTTGGCTTCAGTGTAGTCAAGAAGGTTATCAGTATCTAATGCTGTTTAGCGTGGGGACCCACAGCACAGAAGGTGCGAAGACCCTGAGAATGGGGGTACACAGGCAGGTACCCACAGCTGCCAGGGAAGCCTTGCCAAACAGAGGCCCCAGTCAGGCTCCTCCTAAACCAGGCATCCCGGCTGGCATGGCACCAGTCCAGCCCCTGAGGCAGGTGCTGATGATGTGACCCCACCAGCAGGGCTCTGAGTGGTGGGACTGGGGAGTCCTCCCTCACCTGGGCAGACATGTTATGTTCCACCTTGTCTGCCCCCAGCAAGGCCCTTGAATCTGGAGTGTGATCTGGGGCTGCATCAGCTTTCTCGCCTGGGATGGTCAGATTGGCAGAAGGTTGTGGCATCCTTCAATGCAGATGCCCTAGAGAGGGCCGTGGTGGGACGCAGGATCCCTGGGTAGAGGCGGCTCCTCAGTGACCCACGGGGCCTCACTGGACAGTGGCCTGTTGCTGCTGCTGGTGGTGCTGGGCCTGGGAGGCCACCTTGGAACCACAGGCCAGGCACCTGGGTGGGAGGCAGCCCAGGCCCAGCACCAGCTCCACTTGTACCCATTGGGCAGGAGCTATCATGAGTCAGGTGGGCCCTGGTGACTACTGCTCAGGGAGAGAGGCCAGGAACATCAGGGATAACTGTGTTCCTTGAGTGTGGCCAGAGATGGTGCCAGGAGACCTGGTCTGGCGCATCCCTGCCAGCGACATGCTTTGTGAGTGGCTGCCTGGCAAGTGCCCCATGGAAAGCAGGGGCTTGGGAGGACTCAGCCCTCTCCAGCTGCTGCAGGCCCTCCATTTTTGCAGGGTCTCTGGTCTCTGCTCTCTCCTTCCTCCTCCTGCTTCTGTGTCAATGCTCCATTCCAAGCCTCCTAGTAGACGCAAAAGGGCCTGTTGGGTGCAGGAGAACCTCCAGTCCCAGGTATGGCTGCAGCCTGTGCCAATCCTGTTCCAGCCACTTGAGGTGCTGACAGCATTGGAGTTGGAGGGAAAGTTGGGGTCTGTTTGAGCTCCGTCACATGGACAGTGGGGTAGAGGGGAGCCTGACCCTTTGAACAGGGCTCAGGACCAGGACTGACTTTCTCTCCAGGTTGCCAATCCTGCTCCGTCCCTCATGTCCTGAAAGAGAAGAGAGATGAGGTGGCTGCCCGAGTCCACGTGAAAGGCAGCCTCTGACCTCTTGTCCCCAGGCAGGCAGTGGTGGCTGGCCATACACTCACAGGGCCCCATGAGGGTTCAAGACTGGAGGGGGTAGATCTGAGGGCCTCTTAGCTCTCGGAGAGGGGCAGTTTAATGGGCAGAGGTCCGTTTGGACCCAGATCATTCACAGGCTCGAGGGGAACACTGGGAATTGGGGCTGGGCTCAGGCCTGCTGGGGAACCAAGACTTCTGCTTCTGAGGCATGTCAGTTAATTCCATTTTGACTCTAGGGGAGCCATTTTAAATGTTTATTTCCTTCTCATAGAATCATATGTGAGAGCTGGCATAGCCCCTAGAGGTCATTTGGGGTCCAATTGCCTCACCGTATCAATGAGGAAACTGAGGCCCAGAAGAGAAAAGCATTCTTTCCCAGAGTCCCTCAGTGAGTCCTGGTTCATACCTGCTTTCTGCCGGGGACCAAACGCCAGTTAGTCATTCCTGGTGTCAGCCAGGCAGAGGAGCAGGTGAGGGAGAGGGTGTGGGAGGAGGGAGGTGAGGCAGCTCCCTCCGAGTGGAAGCTCACAGTCAGCTGCAGCACCGCCCCCGGCCCTGACTGCAGCTGTCTGGTGGGGGCACCTGGAGGCAGCGGGTTCGGGCGCAGTGTGAGAGGGCTTACCCTCTGCGGCAGTGGGAGAAAGGACCAGGCGGCTCCCCACATCCTTCCACATCCGAGCTCCAGGGGTCTCTGGCCTGTCCTTTCATAGGGCGGCTGGTGTCCCTTAGGTGGGTGCTGGTAGTTCCTGGGAGAGCTGACGGGATGGAGTGGGCCAAGGGGGCTGAGAAGCTGGCCTGGCGAGAGAAGGTGGGTGGGACTGGGAGAGCCTGGGAAGGGAGGGGCTTTTCTGGGAGGGAATGTCATGGGGCTGGCCACGATCCAGGACCCAGGAGACTGGTCAGGCTGCTATAGGAGACCTAAGAGGCTGAGCATGGGGGGCCAACACAGTGACAGACTTTAACAGGTTCCTGGCCCCCCCAGGAAAAAAACAGACTGCAGCTGATCCTTGGCCCTGAGTTTAGAGTGGGAGGCACCGTGACCCCAGTGCGCAGAGCAGGGAATGCAGGGAGCCATGGATAGTGCTGGGGTGAGCTGGAGTCCTGGCAGGCGCCTGGCCATGGTGCTACTCGTTCTGCAGAGCCTGAGAGAAGGGGCTGCCTCCTTGGGAGGGGTTTGCATGAGAGTCTTAGTGGGAATTCTATTGGACCAGGGGAACCAGTCTTGCTCAGTGACTTCTCTGGGTGTCCTCTAAAGTGAGGGTCAAATTCCCACCTCTCTCGCCTCCTGGTTATGACCACAGCAGACTGGGCAGGGCATGGGGCTGGGCGGAGTTGGGGGCCATCCTCAGGCTAACACCTGGCCTGTGGGTGGGGTGGGATCTGAAGCTGTAGGGTCTTCAGGGGGCCAGGGTGGGTGTGGGGCTAGAGGTGGCACTTTCTGCAGGGCCCGCCCTCTGCAGATGGTTCAGCTCCTTATCGGCTGTCCCTTTGCAGGTGCCTCGGGAACCCTGAAGCTGGGCTGAGCCATGATGCTGCTGCCAGAACCCCTGGAGAGGGCCTGGTTTCAGGAGACTCAGAGTCCTCTGTGAAAAAGCCCTTGGAGAGCACCCCAGCAGGGCTGCACTTGGCTCCTGTGAGGAAGGGGCTTAGGGGCCTGGGCCCCTCCGCCTGGGCCAGGCTGGGAGCCAGGCGGGCGGCTGGGCTGCAGCGATGGACCGTGAGCTGGCCCAGCCCGCGTCCGTGCTGAGCCTGCCTGTCTGTGGCCGTGCCCATCATGGGCTCCTCAGTGTACATCACGGTGGAGCTGGCCATTGCTGTGCTGGCCATCCTGGGCAACGTTCTGGTGTGCTGGGCCGTGTGGCTCAACAGCAACCTACAGAATGTCACCAACTACTTCGTGGTGTCGCTGGCGGCGGCCGACATCGCAGTGGGCGTGCTCGCCATCCCCTTTGCCATTACCATCAGCACCGGGTTCTGTGCTGCCTGCCACGGCTGCCTCTTCATTGCCTGCTTTGTCCTGGTCCTCACGCAGAGCTCCATCTTCAGCCTCCTGGCCATCGCCATTGACCGCTACATCGCCATCCGCATTCCGCTCCGGTGAGCAGGGCCAGGGTTACATCTGTGCAAAGGCTGTTGGTGCCCAGGCTTTGGTCTGTGCCCAGGGCCAGGGTGAGCCTGGGGTCAGGGCCTAGTCTGCAGTGTCAGCATGGTGAGCTGGTGACGGGGCCCCGGGCTCAGCAGGGGCTCCCCAGGGCCAGCACGTGGCCAGCAGTCATGCTGAACTGACTGATCCCTGTGGGCGCAGGGCAGCCTGGCCCTCCCAGGAGGCCTGGGTTCCCCTAGGCTGCCTGAGGCCAACTGTGCTCTGGTTTTTGGCAGATGAGTGTGGCCAGGGTCTGGCATTGGGCTTAGCAGGGAGCTCTGGTTCCAGTGACCCACGTGCTGCCAGCGGGTGTGTCTGGGCCATTCCTCACACACGAGTAAAACTCCCCGCATGATGCTGGGGTGGAGCGGGGAGCCAGGGGAAACCACAGGACCTCAGTGCTAGGAGCCGCCCGCCACCTGCATTCCCCCAGCTCCTCTGGGCCAGCCTTGCAGTGTGCATATTAGGAAAATGACCCAATGAGGGGAAGTGACTTGGCTGAATGCCACAGTGAGTCACTTGGACCTATATGCAAATTTTTGTTGCTCCTCAAGTCACCAAGGACTCATGGTTTTGGAGGCAGCCAGTGTGCTCAGGGGCTGGCTGTTGGAGGGGATTTTTATGGTGAATATTTTGTGAAGTGACTTCAGCCAAGTATTGTGTAAATGAAGATTTTCCCAGAGGCTGAGTTTACTCGGCGTGGATTCCACCTACCCAGGCCATAGATGAGGCTAGAAAGTGCATCCCTCCCTTGGGGACTTCAGAGGCCTTCTGTCCCACCTCCTGGCCCTGCCGCCACGGAGCTGGATTCCGCAGCCTGGGTGGTTGTGGGCCCTGAGGCCATGCATGAGGCTTGAGGTGGTGCCTCTTGAGAGTCAGGGAGCAGAGTGTGCCATCTCTGTGGTGAATTATCTGAGACTGGTGGGTGCCTATCTAAAGAGGAAGCCACAGCAGCCCCACTCAGGTTGAGGGTGCCCCAGCAGGAAGGAGGACCCAGCTAAATGAGCAAATGGAAATTTAGAGTGTCAAACCCAGGGGGCCCTTAGAGGTCATTTCCTCTCATCTTCTGGATGGAAAATGAGCCTCAGAGAAGAGAGCCAGCTGTTTCTGGGCCACACAACGAGTTGGTAGTGGAGCTGGGGCTAGGCCTGGAAAAAAATGTGGCCTGACCCCCACTGTGACTTAAGTCACTGGGCAGCGGTCATGGGCAGCCTGTCTCCCGGAGCCTGCACCAGGTGGCCATCCCTGTCACCTGGGCTCTAAGCGGGAGCAGGAGCTGCATTGGGCTGCTCCAGGGAAGGGGAGGAGTCTGGACCTCACACGGCCCTATCAGATGCTCTGTATCCCAGGAGAGTCTAGAACCCTTGGCAAAGGAGAAGGGGACCCTGGCCAGCCCTGACAGGGATGGAATTAGGGGTTGTCTGACTCCAAGTGCAGTCTCTGGGGAGCCTCCATCCATTGCTCTGCAACGGGCAGAGCAGAGTTCAGGTTCGTTCAGTGGCAGCTCAGAACACGGAGGCCCAGGAGGGGCCCTGTCTGCAGGTGCCCGGGTGGGCCAGAGAACAAAGGACTGGAGCTGACTTCAGGGAACCGAGCTGAGTCTGCACACTGATGGGATGCTCCGTGCGGAAGCAGAGGCCAAGCTCTCATTTTTTCTCTGATTCAGAGGGCGTGATCAGGGCTGCTGTTCTCAGTTTAAAGGAGCTTGACTTTTTTTCTCTTTTGTCTCTCCCTTTCCTCCTCTGTTTTCTGAGAGTTGAGAGAATGGCTCCCTATGAAGTAAGACAGATGTGCTGTGTGGCTGTGGAAAGTTAGCTGCCTCTCTCTGGGCCCATTTCCTCATCCATAAAACAGAATAAGTCTCTCTGCCCCTCTAGGCTCACAACGGTGTTCTGAAGGTCCAGTGAGTGGATGGGGTGACAGGGACCCTGAGGAGGGTTGGCGGGGTAGGGAGGGTGGGGATTCAGATCTTTGGGTTCAGAGCCATGGACCTGCCGCCCCCTATCCTCTACCCATCTCATCCCAGCTTTCTTGAAGCTGGACCTTAGTTCCACCCAGACCTTGAGCCATTTGACTCTGCTCCATGAGGCTCTGCAAGGCTTAGGCTGGTCTCTTCTGCAGGGGGCCCTGGAGAGGATGACGACGATGATGTTCATCCTCCCTCGTGGGCAGAGAGCTTTACAGCTGCCAAAGGATGTCAGCTCAGCATCTCCTGTCATCCTCTTGGCCTGCACTGTGGCCAGGCGGATGTTCTGACCCTCCTGTTACTCATGAACTCATGGGGAGGCCAGAGCAGGGAAGGACATCAGAGTTCTTCCCTCTGGTGTCTCCTGATGTGGATGGACTCCAGGGCCCTTCAGGCTGTTCCTGGTCCTTAGGTCCCTTCACTTTCCTGTTCCTCAAGGCCCCTGGGCCGCTGGGCATGTGGAGGTGTCCATGTGGGCTCCCGAGAGCAAGCGGGGTATGAAGGGAACTTGGAGACACTCTGGCCTGAGCTGGAGTTGCAGCCTGGCTCGGGATCCTCCCTCCTCCTTTCTCAGCTGGGAATCCAGCCTCCTCTACATGCCGTTTCCTGCTCCACTCAGAAAGGTCCATTCAGCTAGCCCTGGGTCTAGCCTCAGGCCTGCCCCACTCTCCATTAACTTTTTTTTAAAAAAAGAATTCAGTTTTGGAAAAATCTATTATTTTCCAAGTTCAAGGAACCTGTTGGGCTAGCACAGGGCCTAGTCGAGGAACTCTGTGAGAAAGACTCCAGGCCAGAGGCAGTGATGTAGCTCTCTGTGTCCCCAGAGGATAGAGAATTCAGGGTGAGAGACACGGGCTGCTTTTCCCAGTTCCCAGGGGACTTTTGCCTCACTGTCCCCTGGCTCTCACAGCAGCCCCTGGTGGATGCTCTCGCTGGTTGAGGAACAGGCCAAGGTGCAGGTGGCAGTTGGTGGTGAGACCCGAAGTCCTAAGACTTCTAAGAGGGCAGGATTGGGAGAGAGGGCTCCCTGGAGGAGGTGCCACCCAGTGGGTCTTGCAGGATGGGCAGGCAGGGTCTCACTGGCATGAGTGTGGGGGCAGCAGGTGTGTCAGGTGGGGGGCAAAGCCTGAGACAAGACCCTGAGGAAGGAATGAGCATGTGAGCACTGGTCAGGGAAGGGTGGCCTGGCTGCCAAGTGACAGAGAGAGATGAACAGCATGGGCAGGAAGCGTGGAGGCCAAGTCAGGCCTGTTCATACCGGGGGAAGGAATGGAGGTTTCCCCTGTTGGTCCATGGCTCTTCAGTTCTTGGATCAATGACTCCTTTGGACAACTTACGAAAGCTCCACCTACTCTTCAGGGTGGGACACATGCACATAAAGCCCCACCTGGAATCATGGGGCATATTCTTGGACCATAGGGTTAGCCCCCAATGTGGGTAATGGAGATCCCCAGAAAGGGGCAGCCTGCAAGCCAGGGGACACAGGGCTGCAGAGGGCACCTCCACAAGGGGTGGGCAGCAGCTCTGGGACCCACATTCTCTGACACGCCTGGGCACCCCAGAGTGGCGGCATGTCATGCTAGACGGCCTTGGCATCCCTTCCAGCTGGAAGGTCAATGTTTGGGGTCTAGGAGGGCAAGATGTGAGTGTATGAGTCACAGATGCAGCCCAGGGTACATTGCTGGGCCTGGCTGAGGCTCAGCTATGATTCCATTTGGGCCCTGATGCTGTCCCCGCTCCCTGGGCACCAGGGTCCAGGGCTCTCAGCCTATGGGGATTTCTTTTAAATAAACTTACTCTATTTGTGTTTTTTTAAAAAAAATGAGTAATGTTTTGCCCACGCTAAAACATTAAAAAGGAACAAAAGAGTATAGTATAGTAGAAAGTTGTTCTCCACACCCCCCTGGTTCCCCACCCCCAGTTCCCTGCCTGCAAGGCCATGTTAAGAATCCTTCCAGAGATATTCTTTGCATATATAGTCAAGTGCTATTAAGGTATGTTTTGTTTCTGTCCCCACACGGGGCTTTCTTTGCAAAGTGCAGTGGAAGACTCCCCTTGTGGGTTCCCTCTTCTGTACAAGTAAACAATTGGGACAGACCAGGGATTTCCATACTGTGCTCCCAGAAGCCTTCGGGTTGGCTCTGCTGTCCCCACCAATTCACTGATTCAATAAACATTTAATAAGCCCCTTCCCTTCCCCAGCAGCTTCACCTCTGTGACTGCCTGGGAATGTGGGCGACAAGGTTTGCTGCTAACAGTTTGAAAACCAGCAAAGCAGGTGGCCCAGGGCCCAGGCAGCTCTGCAACACCCCTGTGGCTGCTTGGCTCTGCTCTGTTGCCTCAAATGACAGGAAACTCACTATTGCCTGAGGCAGTCCATCTCTCCTGTGAACAGCTCAGCTGAAAAAGTCTTATCTACCCTGAGCCACAATCTGCCTCCCTATAATTTCCACCCACTGATTCTCCATTCTGCCCTTAGAGGGCAGAGTGCTGACAGGTCCAGGACTTGGTCCCATTTTACAAATGAAGAAACTGAGGCTCAGAGAGACAAAGTTTTAAAACATTCCTGTTTACAGGGCTGGAACCCAGGGAGGGATATGCTTTTCTCAGGAATAATGTCAGAATTAATATAGCTTCCCAGTCAATGAGGACTATATAAATTACTGTTTGCAAAGCACTAAGAATGGTGTCTGGCACAGAGTCAGTGCTATGTAATGTAGATGTGACAATGAGAGAGCCTGAGATTTTATGTTTGCGAGTCCAACAAGAGGCAGGGCAGTGCCAGCTCCCTGTTGCTTGGAAGCAATAAGCAAGTCTATGACCCTCCTGTTGAGGCCCTGTTGCAGGTAACCAAGCCCCCATGGAATGGAGCTGAGGAGCTCCTGAGAATGGGCTTGTCTGGTTACTGTTTGGATTCAGAAATGACCTAAGAAATTCAGAACAGACAGACTCACCTTGTCCTGAGTTGCCTCTGGGCTCTTGGAATGTCCACAGCAAGTCCATTCCTCTCCTCGGGCCTCAATTTACCCACCTGTAAAACAAGAGGATTGGACCACATAAGAGATCAGAAGCCACCAGGGTTTCTCTTTTTCTCTGTAATTTGAATAAGTTAACAAAATTTAAATCTTAGGAGATCACACCCAGAAAACCATCTCCCCAGCCCCACCTGAGATCTGGTAACAGCAGGCACGCATTTTGCATGGCGGTGAAGACCAGGTAAACGCCCCACCAGCTGCCACCTGTGTGTGCTACCTGTAGGCGCCTGTTCACTACCCATAGATGAGATGGTTTCTGTGGATGTTCCCAGCTCCAGAGTTAAGTAGAGCACATCTTTCCTTGCACCTTCTTCTTTTTTTTTTTTTGGAGATGGAATCTTGCTCTGTCGCCCAGGCTGGAGTGTAGTGGCTCGATCTCAGCTCACTACAAGCTCTGCCTCCCAGGTTCATGCCATTCTCCTGCCTCAGCCTCCCGAGTAGCTGGGACTACAGGTGCCCGCCACCATGCCCAGCTAATTTTTTGTATTTTTAGTAGAGATGGGGCTTCACCATGTTAGCCAGGATGGTCTCGATCTCCTGACCTCGTGATCTGCCTGCCTTGGCCTCCCAAAGTGCTGGCATTACAGACGTGAGCCACCCCGACCAACCTTCTTGCACCTTCTGAGTGTCCCTGTCTCAGAGCTGACAATGCAGAGATGGATGTAGGAAAGCCCTGCCCCCGAGGGGCCCAGATGTGGTAGGGATCTGCTGCACTTCAGTAGGAAACTTCTCTGAGATCTCTATCCTGGACTTGAAGGATGGGTAGGGTTTCTGCCAGGTAGAGGGGAGTGTAATCTGGTCTTGCCAGAATCAAAACTGTTAAACAGAAGTCATCCCTCAGTGATCATCAAGGTTGCCTTCCTAAATTAGGGGATTTTTTTTTTTTTTTTTTTTTTTTGTCCATTCTTTTATGAAATCTATGCCACCTTTCCTACAGGGCTGAGGTCTGCTTCCTGGCTGGCAGATCCAGCCATTTCCCGAGTATAAGACTGGGAATCGGTAGGCTTGGATTTCTGTCTGGCTCTCACTCAGTGATTTCAGGCAGATTACTGTCTCCCTGGACCTCAGTATTTCCTTGCAAATGTTAAGATGGCCATGTAAATGTTAACACGTAATTCTCTCATTTCTCTCCAGAGGGCTGTGGGTGGGTTTGGAGGGGAGAAATGGCATCTCCTTTGGCCTGGGACCTCCTCGCCTCTTTTACCCCCCATGCTGCCTCTTCGCAAGGGCTTCTGGAGACCCCAAATCAAATGGCAAATGGGGAAGAGAAGACAGGGTATGGAGTATAAGAGGTCTAGATCCCCTACAGGTCTGATCTGGCTGGTACTGCCCCTAACCAGTGAGGCCACCCTCCAGACCCCTTCCCTCTCTCCAAAGGGAAGCCTGTCGTAGCCTTATTAACCAAGATCAACCAACATGGAGGTGACTGATCTTGGTTAAGGCTGCGACCAACATGGAAGTGATTGATCTTGGTTAAGGCTACGACACATTTCCCTTTAGAGAAAAATAATGTTTTCCCCCTCAAAAAATCATGCGTTAATTCCCTCCAACCAAACTAAGTGCCAGGACTACTCCAAAAACTCCTCAATGACCATCTGGACGTTTGTACATGGGTTTCCATTTCTTGGGTGCCTGCTCTCCTGTTACCTCCCAGCGGCCTGTGAAAAAGGCAAGGCATATTACTTCCACTTAACAGAAGAGGATGCTGGGGCGAGGTGGCAGGAAATGACTGGTCCAAGACCTTATAGTCAGGAAAAGGGGAAGAGGGTGCTGCTCTGGGGTTCTGAACTCTTGCCCTGCTTAACCCTGGTTTCTCAGATCTCTGATGCTGGTCTCTTCTCCCCAGGTACAATGGCTTGGTGACTGGCACAAGGGCTAAGGGCATCATTGCCATCTGCTGGGTGCTGTCGTTTGCCATCGGCCTGACTCCCATGCTGGGTTGGAACAACTGCGGTCAGCCAAAGGAGGGCAAGAACCACTCCCAGGGCTGCGGGGAGGGCCAGGTGGCCTGTCTCTTTGAGGATGTGGTCCCCATGAACTACATGGTGTACTTCAACTTCTTTGCCTGTGTGCTCGTGCCCCTGCTGCTCATGCTGGGTGTCTATTTGCGTATCTTCCTGGCGGCGCGACGACAGCTGAAGCAGATGGAGAGCCAGCCTCTGCCAGGGGAACGGGCACGGTCCACACTGCAGAAGGAGGTTCATGCTGCCAAGTCGCTGGCCATCATTGTGGGGCTCTTTGCCCTCTGCTGGCTGCCCCTACACATCATCAACTGCTTCACTTTCTTCTGCCCCGACTGCAACCACGCCCCTCTCTGGCTCATGTACCTGGCCATCGTCCTCTCCCACACCAATTCGGTTGTGAATCCCTTCATCTACGCCTACCGTATCCGCGAGTTCCGCCAGACGTTCCGCAAGATCATTCGCAGCCATGTCCTGAGGCAGCAAGAACCTTTCAAGGCAGCTGGCACCAGTGCCCGGGTTTTGGCAGCTCATGGCAGTGATGGAGAGCAGGTCAGCCTCCGTCTCAACGGCCACCCGCCGGGAGTGTGGGCCAACGGCAGTGCTCCCCACCCTGAGCGGAGGCCCAATGGCTATGCCCTGGGGCTGGTGAGTGGAGGGAGTACCCAAGAGTCCCAGGGGAACACGAGCCTCCCAGATGTGGAGCTCCTTAGCCATGAGCTCAAGGGAGTGTGCCCAGAGCCCCCTGGCCTAGACGACCCCCTGGCCCAGGGTGGAGCAGGAGTGTCCTGATGATCCATGGAGTTTGCCCCTTCCTAAGGGAAGGGAATCTTTATCTTTCTGGTTGGCTTGACCAGTCACGTTGGGAGAAAAGAGAGAGTGCCAGGAGACCCCGAGGGCAGCCAGTTCCTACTTTGGACTGAGAGGAGGGAGCCCCAGGCTGGAGCAGCATGAGGCCCAGCAAGAAGGGCTTGGGGTCTGAGGAAGCAGACATTTCATGCTGTGAGGCCTTGCACCAGGTGGGGGCCACAGCACCAGCAGCATCTTTACTGGGCAGGGCCCAGCCCTCCACTGCAGAAGCATCTGGAAGCACCACCTTGTCTCCACAGAGCAGCTTGGGCACAGCAGACTGGCTTGGCCCTGAGGCTGGGGAGTGGCTCCAACAGCCTCCTGCCACCCACACACCACTCTCCCTAGACTCTCCTAGGGTTCAGGAGCTGCTGGGCCCAGAGGTGACATTTGACTTTTTTCCAGGAAAAATGTAAGTGTGAGGAAACCCTTTTTATTTTATTACCTTTCACTCCCTGGCTGCTGGGTCTGCTGTCGGTCCTGCTGCTAAACCTGGCACCAGAGCCTCTGCCCGGGAGCCTCAGACAGTCCTCTCCCGCTGTCACGGCTGCCATCCACTTCTCAGTCCCAGGGCCATCTCTTGGAGTGACAAATCTGGGATCAAGGACAGGGAGTTGTAACGGAGCAGTGCCAGAGCATGGGCCCAGGCCCCAGGGGAGAGGTTGGGGCTGGCAGGCCACTGGCATGTACTGAGTAGCACAGAGCTACCCGGTGAGAGGCCTTGTCTAACTGCCTTTCCTTCTAAAGGGAATGTTTTTTTCTGAGATAAAATAAAAATGAGCCACATCGTGTTTTAAGCTTGTCCAAATAAGAATGGTGTCTGAGTTCGTTTCCTACTCCATAGCTAGGCCTGTGCACACATACCGGCATGTGTTGTGTATGAGAGAGTGTGTGCGTATGTGCAGACACCCTGCCTGTCCCAGGGGCCCTCCCCAGGCTCCTGTCCTCGAGGGGACAGGCTGCCTGGCTGCACCACAATCCAACCTGCATTTCTATGAGGGCCCACAGGGGCTGTGGGAGAAGGGGCTTTCCCCAGCAACTCCCTCCCCCCTTATCTTCCTATATCTTTAAGGGAAGATCTCTTTGTATGTTACCTTCTTGGAACTGTGACCTGCTACCCCTGCCCTGCTCCACCCTTTAGCAGAGGTCACAGAGGTATCTGCAAACAGATCTGGGCAGGGACTACACTGCCTTCCCCTAGAATCCCCCTCCTTCTATTCTTAACAAAAGAAACCTAGAAGGAAGGGGTGTTTTTGCTCTGACCCCGGCCTCAGGGGTCTCCTGCCTGAGGAGGTGGTGCCATCTTTCTGTGATGGAGAAGTTTGAGGCCTGGAAGGCGTTTAGCAACCTGCCCCTGCCTGAGGTTGGCGGGGAGCTGTGATTGTCCCAGTTTGGTCTCATTCACTCTGGGTTTCCGGGAGGAGTGTTCGAATGTCAAGGGTGATCCTCACATAGCCCTGTGAGCCCTGTTTTACAGATGATTAACAAGCCCAGAGAGGTTACATGATTGCTCCAGGTCACACAGCTAGTAAGTGGCAGAAGTGAACTTAAAACCCAGGTCTATCTGACTGTAAAATCCATGTTCTTTTTTTCCATTAACTTATGATGAACTATTTGAACCAAACCAAAAAGTATAAAACATCATGTCCCTAGCACTCTGCTTAAGAACTGAAACATGACAATGTTGGATCTGACCCCTGCCCATCATTACCCTGCCTCCTAGGCCTGGAAACAACCACTTTCCTGAATTTCATTTCTTTCCATTGCTCTCCTTCTCCTTCTCCTTCTCCTTCTTCTTCTATTTTATTCTATTTTATTTTTTTGAGACGGGGTCTTGCTCTGTTGCTCAGGCTGGAGTGCAGTGCAGTGGCACGATCTCAGCTCACTGCAACCTCCGCCTCCCAGGTTCAAGTGAATCTCCTGCCTCAGCCTCCCGAGTAGCTGGGACTACAGGCACATGCCACCATGCCTGGCTAATTTTTTGTGTATCTTTAGTAGAGATGGGGTTTCACCATGTTGGCCAGGCTGGTCTCGAACTCCTGACCTCATGATCCACCTGCCTCGGCCTCCCAAAGTGCTGGGATTACAGGCATGAGCCACCGTACCCAGCCCTTTCCATTGGACTTCTTTACACTTTTAGTATATGGATGCCTGCAAAACTGTCCCAAAACCAACACAGGATTGTTTTAGCTATCTCACTGTTATATCCTCAGAGGTCCTCTAGACTGGCTGCACAGGAGAAATACCTAGGAAGCTTCAATCAGCACCAAAGCCTGAGTACCTTGCCTCAGAGACACTGGATTAATTGGCCAGGGTAGATCAAGTAATTCCCTAGGGGGTTCTTATGGACAGCCAGGACAACCTATAAGGAGCCACTGATACAAATGCACTGAGTCCACCCCCTGTCCACACCAGCTTCCTCCCTCCTAGGATCTGCACTGGCTGTGGGCTGAGGGTGGAACAGTGGCTGGGGTGTGCCTGAGAAGACCAAGAACACAGAAGCTGCCAGTCCTCATGAGCAATTGGTGGGAAGAGGCCAGAAAGAGAACCACAAAGGTAGGGAAGAATGAAACCTCGTCTCTCCAGCCTTTTCTGAGACCTTGGGAACCAGGCTTTGAGTACTGAGCTAGATGGGTGTAGGCTTTGGGGCTGGGAGAACAGGGCCAGGGGCTCAGCAAAAGCTTCTAGGTACAAATGGGCCCTAGTCCTCCCAGGGCCAGCTCCTGCCTAGTGGTAGAGCACAGGCCTCCTCATGTCCTTAGGAGCTTAGGGTCCCATGTCCACACCCACCCCATGTTGGTTCCCACCTTCAGCAGGCCTGAGTGTAAGCACATGGGCACAGACCTGAACATATGCAGGCATTATTCCTCAGACAGTAAGAGAATACATGTGTGCACATATAAACATGCTAGTGGGCAGAGCCCACCTCAACAGGAATAAGTGCCCACAGCAGCAGCATGAGGGAGATGAGAAGACTGGCGAAAGGCTTGAGCAACAGCCCAGTGCCCTGGGGTACAGGCTATGTCCTGGTCCACACTGCCCTGGGCCAGGCTGCCAGGAGCTGTGGCCTGGGCTGCTCCAAGCCCTGCAGCTCTGTCGAAGGGCCCCTCTCCACCCTCTCCCTGCCCTTCCCAAAGGGCTGGGGGTGGATAATATGCTTCATTCAGGCCTGTCCCACGCATATGGGTCCCATCACAGATCCATGTTCTCCATGGCCCCAGCCCCTCTCTACAGTGGGTGTTGCCAGGCCACTGGGAGGCCTGAGAGCAGGGGTCTGGCTCAAGCTGGGTCTCGGCTCATCACTGGGCCTCACAAGAAACAAGCCTGCTGGAGGGCTCCCTTTCACCCTCCTCCTCTAACCACCCCTCCTGAAACCCTACCTTAATCGGGTTGGATTAAGGCCCTATCCTCTGGGAGGCATCACCAGGGGGCTCAGGGAGCTGGGTAGGGGCCACAGTTCTGTGCACTGACCAGGGGACAGCAAACCACAGCAGGGCAGGAAAGAGGGGCCACCTGGGTGCTGTGAGGAAATGAGCTGCTGATGTCCCCTGCATCTTCTGGGACTTGGTATCCCAGAAATGGGAAACTGGTCTTTTCAACTGTGGTGGGGAAACAAGAACCCAGGGGAATCCAACTGCTCAGCATGTGGGAAGGGCTCTGCCAGCCCACCCCTGCCCCTGGGGCCACAGGGAAGGTGGGTGAGGCCAGCACTCTGTGCCTGGGATGCTGCTGCTGTCGTGTCGTGCAATGTTGTGCTGCTTCCCCACATGGCTGCTGCTACGGGCTCTTGCCAGTTGGACACCCTCCCCTGAGCTCTGGTGCCGGACAACTGTTTTCTGAGCATGCCAAGCAATGCCCCTCTGCTGGTGGGAGAAGTTACTTTAGAGGGTACAGAACTTAGGAAGACCCAGGTGTGCTGTGAGGCAAGTGGCTCCCTCCCTGACCCTTACTGCTCAGTGTGCAAGGTTAACACCTTCCCCTCCTCCCCACACCCATCCCCCCTCTCTCCCAAGGTGCCCCTCATTGCTGCTGTCACTCATCATTAGCAGTTACTGTCATTGTTAGGACAGCCCCTGTCAGGCTGCAGAGCCAAGGGAGGGGGCAGGAGAATGTCAGATGACTCACACAACCTTAAAAGAGGGGGATGGACACACAGAACACAGAAACTAGCTATGAGAAGCACCTTGTGAGACTCTGGTTCAACCCTTTTTCCAGAGGAGAAAGAGCAGCTTAGCAGAGCTTCCTGACAATTCCCTCTGCTTCCCATTAGTCAGGCTTGGAGGGAGGCTGGCCTAGGAGAAAGGCCAGGCCAGGGAGTCAGCATGAGGCTGGGCAGGTGACAGGGGTAGCCTACCCAGGGTCCTCTGAGGGAGGTGGGGAAGGTTTTGCATGGACCCTTTCACGCTTCTTTGCCTTGTCCAAGGAAGTGTTTCTGTTTTGGGGAGGAGAGGAGTGACTCTTTGTCAAATTAGCCATCTGAACTCTCACCTAACAACCAGCTAAGCCCTCGGATCGTGCTGGTTAGGACCTGAGCCCTATCTCCTGGCTCTCTGTCCCTCTCCCAACCACTTAATGAGCCCTTGATGATGCACACTGAGCCAGGGGCAGGATGCAGGGAGCTAACCACTGACTAAGGAGAACAAGCCCAATGGGGAGAATAAGCCTGACAGAGGGAATAAGCCTGTGAAGGACACACAGGCTTTCAGAGGAGGTGAAAGCCACACCCTAGCGGGCAGCCAGGATGGGCTTCACAGAGGGGGCCACGCCAAGCTGGCCTGTCAAAGGCCCGCGGTCAGCTCCAGGGCCCCATCTCTTCAACCTGTTGGTCAGGAAATAAGAACAAGGAGGGGCTGAGTAAATCTGCGCCTGATTTTCATCTGCCTACACTGAATTATGGCATCCATTTGGAGGCAATTTTCAAGTTAAAATGTTGTCAGAAGGCTGTCACAGTTTTGATCTTTCTTTTCTGTTCTTTCTCAACCCACCCACATTTTCTAGTTAGGTTGGAAAGGGGAGTGAGGGGGATAGAGCCTGGTTTATATTCAGAGATTTCTGGAATTGTTAAAGATAGATGAGACTTTTAGAAATTATCAAGTTTTCTCTTAGGAAAATTGAGTCCCAGTTCAATGTCACAATTAATTGTTCTTTCAGTTCCAGAACTTTTAGGGGAACTGGAGGGCCACGGCCAGGCATCCTGCAGGCTATCTCTTGGGGTTTCAGCTTGATTCTCTCTGCTGCCTCATTCAGAGATGCCAAATAATCCCACCATTTGCTCCTTCCAACCACCACCCTGTTCCACCGACTGCTGGATGGGGAGTCAAAACACCAGTTTCAATCCCTGGCCTTGCCATTGACTTCTTTCACAGGACAAGTCACTGAGCTGCCACACCTACTTTTAGATAAAATGAGTTAATAAACGTGGGCCGGGCGTGGTGGCTCACGCCTGTAATTCCAGCACTTTGGGAGGCCAAGGTGAGTGGATCACCTGAGGTCAGGTGTTCAAGACCAGCCTGGCCAATGTAGTGAAACCCTGTCTCTACTAAAAAATACAAAAAAAAAATTAGCCGGGCATGGTGGCGAGTGCCTGTTATCCCAGCTACTTGGGAGGCTGAGGCAGGAGAATCTCTTGAGCCCGGGAGGCAGAGGTTGCAGTGAGCTGAGATTGCACCATTGCACTCCAGCCTGGGCAACAAGAGCGAAACTCTGTCTCAAAAAAATAAATAAATGTGGCAGTGCTTTGGAAGGTATGTGCAACACAAATGCCCAGGATGATGCCGACCGTTATTATTGTAATAATAAATCCATTCTCAGCTC